AGGAAAGTGATTTTCATAAAAATATAAACAATTTTGAATTGATTAGTAAAATAACTAAAATCATTGAATATTTATATTTTGACAACGTTTTTAAGATAGACTATCAAAGGAGTAGTAGTTGAACAATCAATTCTGATAAGCCGCAGTAGTTGAACACTCCAAAGCAGTAGTTGAACTAATAAAATATATGTCAATAGGCACACCAAAAATTTTCAACGTTTTATTGAAATATCTAAAGAATTATAACATATTATTGTTATAAATCAAAAAAACTCTATTCAAAACGTTCAATAATTTTTAACTACACTAATTTTTAGCTATAAGACTTATTTAATTTGCAGTAATTAATACAAATGACAATGCTGATCACTGGTCTGTAAACCTATTAGAGATTAGAGTGCTGTTAAAATTATACGGCCGCAGCTTGTTCAGGTTATGGGTACCGCTTTTGAATTTTCGAGGTATAGTTAGACGCTAAAATTTAATATAAAAATTATAGTTTATGTCTTTGCAAAAAATATGTATTATTTAGAAAAGACTATTTTATTTGGTGGTACAATTTTTTTTACTTAAAATGATATACCGTTTTTTTTTACTGATTTTTCGGTTTACGGTTTAGTGCCTTTCTCATGAAAAAAATTGCATCTATCGGCTATTCTCGACAAGTCAACTTTTAAGTTAACAAAAATATAATTGTTTTGATTTATAAATGTAAAAACTTACAGAACTCAAATACACTGTTAAAAATTTTTGTAAGATATTACAATCATGTTACAAAATAAATAATAAGTAAAATTACAAATCAGTGTACAGCAATGCGAAATAATATACAGTTTATGTAATTTTCCAATAACTGTCAGGAAATCTACTAAGATGTATTGTAATTTTACAAACTTCATGCATAAACCTAACACGCATCGTAATATTACAGAACCGTTGGTCAATTTTTAAGAAAAAGCTTTTTAATTTTGCAAACATTATTTGCGATCTGATTCGGCATAATTGTATGTAAAATCACAAAAAAATATTGTAATTTATATTACAATAATCTCATAAAAAATTTAAAAAGCTTTTTTTTAATTTTGCAATTTTCATTGTTAAATTACACAGTGCAATGTAATGTTACCAGACAATTTTAATTATATTACACGAATTGTAATTCTCCTTGACTGTTTTCCAATTTTAATAACAATACTTTTAAGTTTTACAAAAATGAGACTGATGTATCAAAAAACAACAATGTCCTTCATATTTATTTTTACTAATTTTTAGTCTATGGTTGTTTATTTGTAATAATAAATTCCAGGCATCATTTATCTTTTATATATTTTAATATTACGCTCAAACGATCATTTCCAAATCAATATATTTGAATGAGTATATGTTAGACTTTAATTTTTATAATATTCAATGAATTATAAATAATGTAAAAGTTAGTTATTTTCCATCAATAAACAGCATCAAATAACACAAATAATGTAAATAATAAATAATAAGCCGTAAAGCTCAATCACCACATAAGATTAGCTTATAAGAATAATAAGATGTTGAATGACCTATCGGTCGTACGGCGTAGGGCGTTAGGTATCGGTTTGACAAGCAAGCGGCTCGCGTTCGATTCTTAGTTAGGGTAAATATTATTTTCACTTTATATCATCAGGGTTGTAAAAATTAGGTCTACGTGAGATGCAAAATCTAGTTAGTGCTTCATAAAAATAAAATGACAACAAATATTAAATCAAGTCTTTCTTTTTTATTATTTTAATTCAAGTAAAATTCAAGGAAAGTATTGTAATTTTACAAATTTAGCTAATCTAAAAATATTTTTAAAATCACAAAATCTTGTAAAATTAGTAACTTCACATCTATATATGTTTTGTAATATTACTATACCCGATTATAATTTTAAATGTTTTGCCTATTAGCTTCCAATACATTTCTTGTAAAATTACAATAGAAATTTTTAACAGTGTAGGAATCCATACTTTTTTCTTTTCAACTCAAAAACTTGCATTATTTTTAAATAAATGCAAACCAACCCAAACTTACCACCCTCAAAATCAATACCAAACATATGCACAAAAAGCCCCTTGAAGCCTAAAAGCTGTCCATATAATAAAAGCGCAATTAATCGGAATATGAATGTCAAAAAGTGAAATATTCCCCAGCAATGATAACCCTCGCATAAACACTGATCGCAAAAGTCACTTTAGCCCAGACCAGAATCCGGATGGCCGCGTGAATTGAGGACTAATGATCAGACACTATCAACCGCACAAATGACTATCCTGGCTGCTGCTGTCATTGTCATTACGCATAATGATGTCCGGGGGTTAAAAGTGATAATGATAATACATGTGCTTTGCAAGGTCGAGAAAAAAAGACGAAAAGCGGACAGGAGCAGGAGGAGGTTCAGGACCTGGGCTCCCGTTTTAGCCGTCCCGCGACATAAATACAGAGTAGCTTTGGCGCCATCAACAATTCATCGATATTATTACACCAGGCAGTGCCTCCCTCTCTGGCTCAGGACAAAACGACAACAGGGGTTCAATGAATTTATACAGGCATATATATGAATAGTTTCCAGTGGGATAGACATTGCTGAGAGCCCTCCACTCTCTAATCTGCATCACTAACTACTACAGTTTATTCCCCACTCGCTGGAATTCTACCCCTTCTTCTCTTTCCCTTTTGATGGTTGACATGAGTGCACGCGCTTTTGTTGCCGACTCTTTAAAACTCGAGTTGTTTTGTCGTGTGGATCACCACTACTCACTGCTTTGTGCTTATATTCTGTCTGGAGGAGCCACTTTGTGCAAGAGGACCGATGCGGGATCAACTTCCAGAGTAATCTCATTAAGCGCAAGCTCAAGGGGTTGGATTTATAATTCAATGTAGTGGAAATGAATGGGGTTTTTTTGGACCTTTTGCTTTTCGAATATCTGGTTATATAGACGGTAATTTGGTGGTTGGAGGGGATTCAAATACGGGTTTTGGAAATAAGGTAAGAAATTATGTTTAGAAGTTTTTTGAATGAGTTTATTAGAGAAAATTAGTTAAAATTATGATGAAAGTGCTTAAAGGTGACTGATGATTGTTGATCTGATTTATTGACTGGCAAAAGATGAGTAAATGTGCATAGAAAAAAAAAATTAGAAAAACGGTTGACCTTGAAGGCCATCCTTGCAATTTCCCGCCAATTCTATACCTAAACGCTTGAAATTGCACTTATGATGTTTTTGAGCTCTGCGAGCTCATAAATACAATTTTTGTGTTATTTTGAGCTCTTCGAGCTCAAAAGCTTGATAACACACTACTACACTGTTGAAAATTTCTATTGTAATTTTACAAGAAATGTATTGGCAATAGGCAAAACAATTATTTAAAATTACAATCGGGTATAGTAATATTACAAAACATATATAGATGTGAGGTTAATAATTTTACAAGGTTTTGTAATTTTATAAATATTTTTAGATTAGTTAAGTTTGTAAAATGACAATACTTTCCTTGAATTTTACTTGAATTGAAATAATAAAAAAGAAAGATTTGATTTAATATTTGTTGTCATTTTATTTTTATGAAGCACTAACTAGATTTTGCATCTCACGTAGACCTAATTTTTACAACTCTGATGATATATATAAAGTGAAAATAATATTTACCCTAACTAAGAATCGAACGCGAGCCGCGCGCTTGCCAGACCGATACCTAACGCCCTACGCCGTACGACCGATAGGCCATTCAACATCTTATTATTCTTATAAGCTAATCCTATGTGGTGATTGAGCTTTATGGCTTATTATTGATTATTTACATTATTTGTGTTATTTGATGCTGTTTATTGATGGAAAATAACTAACTTTTACATTATTTATAATTCATTGAATATTATAAAAATTAAAGTCTAACATATACTCATTCAAATATATTGATTTGGAAATGATCGTTTGGGCGTAATATTAAAATATATAAAAGATAAATGATGCCTGGAATTTATTATTACAAATAAACAACCATAGACTAAAAATTAGTAAAAATAAATATGAAGGACATTGTTGTTTTTTGATACATCAGTCTCATTTTTGTAAAACTGAAAAGTATTGTTTTTAAATTGGAAAACAGTCAAGTAGAATTAAAATTCGTGTAATATAATTAAAATTGTCCGGTAACATTACATTGCACTGTGTAATTTTACAATGAAAATTGTAAAAATAAAAAAAAGCTTTTTAAATTTTTTAATGAGATTATTGTAATATAAATTACAATATTTTTTTGTGATTTTACATACAATTATGCCGAATCAGATCGCAAATAATGTTTGCAGAATTAAAAAGCTTTTTCTTAAAAATTGACGAATGGTTCTGTAATATTACAATGCTTGTTAGGTTCATACATGAAGATTGTAAAATTACAATACATCTTAGTAGATTTCCTGACAGTTATTGGAAAATTACATGAATTGTATTTTATTTCGCATTGCTGTACACTGATTCGTAATTTTACTTATTATTTGTTTTGTAATATTATTGTAACTTTACAAAATATTTTAACAGTGTATGGGAAGATTTGCTTGGCTCAAAAATACAATCAATAGCTCTTGTAAGCGTACACAATTTTCTTGGTATAGAGGCAACTGTTTTGTCAATGCGAGGATCTGTATACAAACATTTTTTTTTTTTTTAAAAAGTAATATAAAATACAAGGCGTTGGTTTAACCAATGTAGCCAACGTTTACATAATAGAGGTTTACAATATACATAATCGTTGAGTCTGAACATACAATAAAGTTAAATAGAAATCTGTGGGTAAACTAGATAAATAGGTTATCACAGTATGGTCATTTTTAAATATTTTAAACTTTACTAATAAGAATAAGATGAAATTTAACATTTTTATACTAATATATTGCGCGAACCAACTAATACAAACAGCTACACAGAAATTACTACTTACGCCATCTATCTAATAGATAAAGAATTAATATTGTAAATTCATACATCAGACATGGTGGTGATGAGAATTGCGAAGTAGGAGTATGAAGTTTTAATAACCTTAAAATAAAAATATTGTTAATTATAGTTTAAATAAAAATAACAATATTAAAAGACATTTTTGACTTTTTGCTCTTAAATTAATTATTTTAAAAAGTTGGAAGTTAAAAAAAATTAATAAAACAGCATCTACCGATAAGAATGTTTTCATAGACAAGACAAAGAAAGGCCCAGCGCTCATTTTCATAGGAGTCAGTCCTTGTGTTAAACCATTCAGTATAATTCGCTTAGATTTTGCAGATAAGTGGTCTTCCCAGCCACATTCGTAAATACTGATCAATACTTTATCGTTCTGACAAAATGTAAAATTTGTTAGGTACAATTGACTATCCCAGTAAGGAATAATTACCTCAATTATCAGTTGATTGCCGTAGATGCACCAGTATAATAATTGGATCAGTCCAATTGTCAAGATAACAATATCTACGAAGTTGACTCTATTTTCGTGCAGCGACTAAAAAAGAATGAGGTAATAGTCCCAGTTATTGAAAGGGGTCTGAATATTGAGACCCTAAATTATTTTTAAATATATTTAAGTATAAATATATATATCTATAATACCACAAACAAATTTAAGGGGGTATTCTGGTCTAGAAGCCTAAATTTTAGGCATTTTTCAAACTAACATAAAAAAAAAATGAAAAACATTTTTACTATCCGTTTTTTTATATGATGTTTATTGACAGTTCAAGAATATAAAAAAAAATTAAAAAAAAAAAAAAATGATAAATTTAATTTCAAAGGAATCGGTGGGGTAGAACTTAAGATATCATGTCAATCACTTTAAAAAAAGTAGTTTCGAGAGAATCGCGTTTAAAGTTTTAGAAACGATTTCAGTAAAATAACTCATAATAATATTTAATATTCACTTTGGATTAATCGCGAATCCCAGATCCGTAAATTGAGCCTTCTTCTACTTCCTACTCGATGTTTTGCGAAGTTCTTTCTGCTAATCGAGCTGTTCTGCCTTCTATTGAAGAAGCAGAAGCAGAAGCAGCTGCGTCACAAAATCCTCGGTATCTCCGAAAATAATTCGGATTTTTAAAAATCCACTCAAGGACATATTTTTAAGGGTCTAAACTTTGCAGATATGCGAAAAAAAATAATTCGAATTTTTCAAATTTCTAGACCAGAATACCCCCTTAAACGATATTGATATTTGATTGTTTAAAAAAAATCAAATCATAACTTTGTCTCTTATAGTGTCAATAATTGGGGCTTTTACTTTTATATTCGATAGACAATATAAAGTTATCTGTAAAGAAAATCGAAGAAATACTTACTACAGCAAGTGTGAAAAGTCCAACGCAGATGAGAATAAAATTTATAAGTATTTGACCAAACAACACAAAGCCGAAAGCGTTATTGCAGTCGTTGAGATTTTTGATGAGCCGTTGATGATGGATGACACAAGTTTGGAATCTCAGAAGAAATGAATCGGCTGATATGTTAGCTTCTTCGAGAGTAAACGGCACAAAAGACTGGATTTTCTCTTGCTCCTCGGGGACTTTTAAAAATTGGTAATTCTGGATGATGTTGTAGTTTTGCTGAGATACTGAAAAATTGGCGCGGGATGTGCTGGTGTCATTGCAATGACGAAAATTTGCTTGAAGGACCATCAATTGCACGTTAATCCATTGGGTAATTCCTATGATTGATGTGTCGAAGATGAAGGTCCAAACGCAGCCGATTAATAATCCATAGCATTGACTGCCCAAAATTATTTCGAAAATCGGGCTCCGGGTCACCTCAAATGGGTATGATCCCCGGATTGGGAATTCACGGGTGTGTATGGATGATTTTATTGGAAGGAGGCCTAGGTCTACTACAAAAATTGATCCGACGACATATATTGTGTAGATGACGTTTTGAAACAATATTGCAGTTCTGATGATTGTAAGGACTCCCAAATCTAAAAACAATTTCTAGTTAGGTATAAATCATATGTGATCAGATATAAAACATAATGGTGATTCTCTGTAAGGCTGTTTTTTGCTGTCCCACGCATTTTTAACTTCCCGCTAAAAATCTCAGATTTTCAAAAATCGGGAAGTTATTGTTTTCACCTCGTTTTGCAAAAATCGAGTTTTCATCAGATCTCGACGTTTGAAGGTCACAGGAAGCTTTCCTGACTATCCCCGCGAGGTTGTCACTATGTCTGTGTGTGTGTGTGTGTGTGTGTGTGTGTGTGTGTGTGTGTGTGTGTGTGTGTGTGGTGTGTGTGTGTGTGTGTGTAACTTTTGAACGGCTTGACCAATTTAATCGAAATTGGTGCCATTTGAAAGGGCTTGACCAAACTTAGATCCACAGATTCGGTAGAATCTGACGCCAAGTTCCGTTCAAATCCGGTGTCAACGGAGCGCCAGACTACCGACTGTGTTTACTGTAAGCAGAACGGTATTTTGAGGTTGCAAAATTTTATTTAATTCTACGGTACTTTTTTTTCATAAATTGTATATTATAACAGTAATTCATACTTTATTTTACTGTTATTAATTAATTATATTCACTTATAACAATTAATCTACTTGAAATTACTAAATTTAATCAGCACAAACTATAGCAACGCAAAAATTTCGATCCTGACTTTTTTTCGATGGGCAAAGTGATCTGCGTGTGTGTGTGTGTGTGTGTGTGTGTGTGTGTGTGTGTAAGTATGTGACTCGCCTATAATTTTTGAACGACTGAACCGATTGGAACGTACTGAACGGCGTTCTAAATAGTTCCCTCAAACTTAAATTTCCTGATAATTTGAACCGATTCGGACCGATAGATTTCGAGAAATTTTGAAAAATATAAAAAAAAAAAAGAAAAAAATCATATTTGAAAGTGGTTTTTTTGGAATAACTTTTAAACGGATCTATCGATCAACTTCAAAAACTAATCCGCCCTTAAGCTTGAAAAACCACGCCGATCGTCGCTAATCCGGTCAAAATCGGTTGATTCGTTCGAGAAATATCGTCAACGAAAGAAAACCGAAAAAAGTGTTTTTTTGACATAACTTCGTCATTTCTTCTCGGATCGTTTTTGATTCTATAGAATAATTTCAGAGCTTAAAAAACCGCGTTGATCGCCGCCAAAAACGTGGAAATCCGTTGATTGGTTCGAGAGATATCCTCGATAAAATATTTGGAAACAAGTGTTTTTTTAACATAACTCCGACATTTTTTGGAATAACTTTGAAACGGCTGCACTGATCGATTTCAAAAACTAATCAGCTATTAGCATGAAAAAATTACGTTGATCGCCGTCAAGCCGGTCAAAATTGGTCAATTCGTTCAAGAAATATCATCAACGAAAAAAAACCAAAAAAAGTGTTTTTTTGGAATTACTCAAAATTTCCTAGTTTTATCAATTCAAACTTAAAGATTCTTCATGAAACTAAAAAAATTGCGTCAAATACTGCCAACCGCGTGAAAATCGGTTGATTCATTCAAAAGTTAGTGTGGTTTGAAAATTAAAAAAATATTGTTCTATGATACTTCTATCAGACTTTCGAAGAGCTCAAAATAACTCATAAATTGTATTTTTAAGCTCGAAGAGCTCAAAAACATCATTAGTGCAGTTTTAATAGGTATGGAATTAGCGGGAAGTTGCACAGATAGCCTTCAGGGTCTACCGTTTTCCTAATTTTTTTCTAATAAAATCTAAAATAATTTGGTCGGACAATTTCGTACAGATTTAAGACGTCCTTACAGAGAATCACTCATAGATGAATAATTTTTTTTATTTTACGCTCAAAATCGTAATAAGTGCAATTTTTAGCGCTTAAGTATGGAATTAGCGGGAAGTTGCAGGAATGGCTTTTAGGGTCAACCGTTTTTCTAATTTTTTTTTATAGGGTCATATTAACCTGAAGAATACTTTAACAATGAAATGGGTCCATGAATATCATTAATAAGCCGTCGAAATTCATTGCGTTGAAGATAAATCACCATTGACTTGAATTCCACTATCAAGAATGGAAAAATGAAAGTCAAATTATAAGACACTTCTTGAAAGTGGTCAATATTTATACAAAAATCGGCAGCATTCGTCACAACAATAAACGCGACCACAATCCAATTGAATGTGCGGACTAAATTAATCACTACGTACTTAATAATCGGCTCTCTGTCGATTTCAAACAAACCAAGAAATCTAAAATATAAAAAAATTCTTAGAATCAATAGCTTATTTTTGTAAGATAATTTCTTTTAATGTACTTCGCAAGATATAGTGTAATATCGAGGGTTGCACGGTGTGTTATTATCGGGGATCTCTCCATATTTTTTTTTTTTTTTTTCACTCGTGATAATATTGTGTTATTTTTTGGATCATTACAGACAATGATGGGATATTATTTTCAATTACAAGTATAGAAAAACATTACATGCTTCTATTTCGATCTTGATTCAATTTTCTTATATCTAATATGCAATAGTTTTTTTCTTAAATAATTTATCAGCTATTGTTCCGGAGTGTGAAGCTATAATTTGCTGTGTAAAGAAGAGGAACGTGTGGAAAAAAATTGCGACAACTTGATATTGCGAGTGTTGTAAAAATAGTCAGTATTGATCAATATATACGAAAAGGTTCAAGCTTGAAGATACTTGTTCGAATATATTTGATCATTACACAGTGCAATGTAATGTTACCAGATAATTTTAGTTGTATTACACGAATTGTAATTCTACTTGACTGTTTTCCAATTTTAAAAATAATACTTTTCAGTTTTACAAAAATGAGACTGATGTATCAAAAAACAACAATATCCTTGATATTTATTTTTACTAATTTTTAGTCTATGGTTGTTTATTTGTAATAATAAATTCGAGGCATCATTTATCTTTTATAAATTTTAATATAACGCTCAAACGATCATTTCCAAATCAATATATTTGAATGAGTATATGTTAGACTTTAATTTTTATAATATTCAATGAATCATAAATAATGTAAAAGTTAGTTATTTTCCGTCAATAAACAGCATCAAATAACACAAATAATTTAAATAATAAATAATAAGCCGTAATGCTCAATCACCACATAGGATTAGCTTATGAAAATAATAAGATGTTACATCACCTATCGGTCGTACGGCGTAGGGCGTTAGGTATCGGTCTGGCAAGCGCGGGGCTCGCGTTCGATTCTTAGTTAGGGTAAAAATTATTTTCACTTTATATCATCAGAGTTGTAAAAATTAGGTCTACGTGAGATGTAAAATCTAGTCAGCGCTTCATAAAAATAAAATGACAACAAATATTAAATCAAAACTTTCTTTTTTATTATTTCAATTCAAGTAAAGTTCAAGGAAAGTATTGTAATTTTACAAACTTAGCTAATCTAAAAATATTTGTAAAATTACAAAACCTTGGAAAATTAGTAACCTCACATCTATATATGTTTTGTAATATTACTATACACGATTGTAATTTTCAAATAAATGTTTTGCCTATTAGCTTCAAATAAATTTCTTGTAAAATTGCACTGGAAATTTTTAGTTATACAGATCCTCGCGTTGACAAAACAGTTACCTCTACTAAGAAAACATTGTATTTCAAAATAAGAGATTCTGGAAATGTGTAATTATTAATTAATAATTATTAATTACCCTTGCGAATGAATGTGACTAAGAAAATATTTGGTTCAATTATTGATCAATGAATTCTATTCACCGCCTCTTCAAAATACTCCACTTGCAAAATTAATCTCTGTTACACCACGCGATAATTTTCTGGTATTTGTTTGATTAGCTTATTCAAATTCTTGCACTGTGAAATAATTCAATGTAATTCTAGTGTCATTCTCGTAATATCCCTATCAAACAAATCCACACTGTTAAATATTTCTATTGTAATTTTACATGAAATGTATTGGAAACTAATAGGCGAAACATTTATTTAAAATTACAATTGGGTATAGTGATATTACAAAATATATATAGATGTGAGGTTACTAATTTTATAAGGTTTTGTAATTTTACAAATATTTTTAGATTAGCTAAGTTTGTAAAATCACAATACTTTCCTTGAACTTTACTTTAATTGAAATAATAAAAAAGAAAGATTTGATATAATATTTGTTGTCATTTTATTTTTATGAAGCGCTGACTAGATTTTGCTTCTCACGTAGACCTAATTTTTACAACTCTGATGATATAAAGTGAAAATAATATTTACCCTAACTGAGAATCGAACGCGAGCCGCGCGCTTGCCAAACCGATACCTAACGCTCTACGCCGTACGACCGATAGGTGATGTAACATCTTATTATTTTTATAAGCTAATCTTATGTGGTGATTGAGCATTACGGCTTATTATTTATTATTTACAGTATTTGTGTTATTTGATGCTGTTTTTTGATGGAAAATAACTAACTTTTACATTATTTATAATTCATTGAATATTATAAAAATTAAAGTCTAACATATACTCATTCAAATATATTGATTTGGAAATGATCGTTTGAGCGTAATATTAAAATTTATAAAAAATAAATGATGCCTCGAATTTATTATTACAAATAAACAACCATAGACTAAAAATTAGTAAAAATAAATATCAAGGACATTGTTGTTTTTTGATACATCAGTCTCATTTTTGTAAAACTGAAAAGTATTGTTTTTAAAATTGGAAAACAGTCAAGTAGAATTACAATTCGTGTAATATAATTAAAATTGTCTGGTAACATTACATTGCACTGTAATTTTACAATAAAAATTGTAAAAATAAAAAAAAGCTTTTTAAATTTTTTGAGATTATTGTAATATAAATTACAATATTTTTTTGTGATTCTACATACAATTCAGAATCAGATCACAAATAATGTTTGCAAAATTAAAAAGCTTTTCTTAAAAATTGACCAATTGTAATATTACAGTGCGTGTTAGGTTTTACATGAAGATTGTAAAATTACAATCTTAGTAGATTTCCTAAAAGGTGTTGGAAAATAACATGAATTATATTTTATTTCGCATTGCTATACACTGATTTGTAGTTTTACTTATTATTTGTTTTGTAAGATGATTGTAATATTACAAAAATTTTCAAACATGAGTTTATATGGAAATCCACATAGGAAAGTATGGATTCGCATAGGAATCTACATAGAAAGTGTGGATTCCGTTAGGAATCCACACGGGAATCTGTGGATGCATGGATTCCTATATGGAAAATCCACATAGGATGTGAATTTCTATTGGAATCCACATAGGAACCTGTGGGTTGATGGATTCCTGTATAGGAAATCCACATCGGAAGTATGGATTCCTATAGTGAGTTCATACAAGTGGAATAAACATAGACCTTGTAAGAACGTGACTTAGGCCAGTGAGTAACGTAGAAGACTGTCAACCATGAGGTACCGGGTTCAAGTCCATCAGACGTCAGCAGTTTTTTCATTAGATAAAATTACAAAATCCCTTTTTCACAATTTATTTCAATTCATAATTAATTAATAGCAATTACTTCATAATTATTTTTAATTTTTTAAATAAATTTTTTTCGCCTGATTAATATGGAAATCTATGTAGGATCCTACCTTGGATTCCTATATAGAAAACCATATGAGAATCTATCCGAAAACGCCATATGGAAGTCCAGGCTGGTTTTCCATATGGATTTTTGGTGACACGACAAAATCTCCCCGACAAAATCTAATTTTAAATAATAATATTATTCCTGACAGTTGTGATGGTATTTTTCGTGTAAATATATACAAAAAATCATGATAAAAGGGCACAATGAAATTTTGAAGAGTATTTTGTCGGTGAGATTTTGTCGGTGAGATTTCGTGGTGCAACCGGATTTTTATCTCCGTGAAAATTTGAATGTAAATTTCTTTTCACTATTATTAGATTAACTAAATAAAATTCGTACTCTGCAAAACGTAATTCCATTCGTGAAAAGCTTCTGTTCACTATTCACAATTCATTATCCGGCAGATTACCACCCGTCAAAATGATATCAGCAATATACGTCTCAATCAAACGCAAATACCCATCAAACATAAAAGATTCCGATAACAAATGAAATGAAAATAAAATCCGTTTTCACGCCCGCAAACTACAAACACTCGAAAATATATATAATGTCCGAACTCACGGCAATAACCGTTATTTCCAGCCCGATATCTGACTCGAAAAATCACCAATTCATTCACTGCAATCGTATTTCCGAGCACTAAAATAAAATTTTATTTCATCTTTACATATATGTTTCCAGGTTTTTCACGAGTCTGTATAAGCCGTCAAATAGATTTTCATATTTATTATTCTTTTTATTTCGTCTTTTCTGTCACCGACTTGTTTTTTTTTTCTGTCACCATTCCCGGAGGGTTAAATGTTTCTTTTTTAATTCCACCTTATTATTGATTTTTTATAAATAAAAAAAAAATTAATTTATATATTAGCTGTAAAAAAAAAAAATAAAATTTAATTAAAGCGGATAATATATTTTCGTCCAATATTTAATGAACACTTTTTAAATTTCTCAGTCAAAGTTCCTGAACTTTGATTTTAATTAGCGAAAGTAGGAGCCTTCAAAGACTCACTCAAGAAATTTACAACCTTGAAAGGAGAGAGTGAAGCTTAAATGTAAATTTAAGACGAGGGATTTTTAGAATATTTTCATATTTTTCCTCCTCATCTATCAACATTTTTGTTCTTTGAAATTTTTGATTAATCCAAGAGTCATTTTATCAGTAATTGTGGGATAATTTATAATGAATTGACTCTAATCTAGAGAATGAAGAATTATTTAAAAAAAAAGCGACTTAATTCCTTTGTCATTAAGTACTCTCGAGTTCAAAGGGACGGTGTCTTTGTGCGATTTGATAGTGGAATGTGTAGAAATGCCTCTACTCGGACGATTGGTATCAGAGTGATTAAACTCTCCTGTACAAGATAATTATGGTGAGTAATATGAGAGATGGACGTTAATGTATATATTTCAGTTGCTGTTGATTAACTCACTTTTGATGTTCCTAATCAAAATTAACTAATTATAAACTATTCATTTGATAAAAAAAAATCATCAAATAGGATTATGTGATTATATATAACTCAATGTAATCATATGATCACTGATCATTTGACCAAATATAAACACTGATCATCTCACCAATAATGATCACTGATCATATGACCAAATATGATCACTGATCATATGATCATTGATCATATAACCAAATATGATCACGGATCATATGACCAAATATGATCACTGGTCATATGATCATTGACCATATAACCAAAGATGATCAATGATCATATGATCAACGATCATA